CGATGGGGGACGTCTCTCTCCCCCCCCCATATTCCTTCTCTCTCCCTATCCAAGGAGAATCCTCCTCCACTAAAGGTGGAGGGTGAGACCCTCCCAGGGGGGTGAGACCAAGCCACATCTCGGGTGTTTGGGTCATTTTGGGGTCCCGTGGTTATGTGAGGTCCCCCTACTGGGGAGCTGCTCTCTTTTTGCTACCGGCCCAGCAAGACCCAGCTCGTGTGAGGCTGCTGCAGCGCTCGCTCGTCATGTCCCGGCCGTGGCAGCGTGTCACCGTGCGGTGACATGGCAATGGCTGGAGCGGAGGTTCCAGCGTTTAAAGGCGCCTGCCTGCCGGGGATGGCGGCGAGTCTCATCTCTGCTCGGTGTGAGCACAGACGGGCTGAGTCCTTCTGGGCTGCGCTGCTCCTCCCCGGGAGGACGGCTTCGTTTCCCCGCTTCTCTCGGAGAGAGAAACTGAGGCGCAGAGCAATGATGGACCAGATTGCTGCCTCGGGGTGGAGGGGTCTCTGAGTTGAGGAGGATGTAAAATTGGGCTCCTCTCAGCACAGGTAGCGATTGGAAGGCAAAGGCACCAGCTTGCAGGGGGCAGATGGACCGGAGACGGATGTCAGCCAAACCACCTGAAGCCCGTGGATGTACGCGGCTTCCCAGGGCGCTGCTTGGCTTCCTCCGGCTGCATCCCCGCAGGAGGAGCCGCGGGGCCCTGCTGGGGGAGGGACCGAGGTGGTCGCCCAAAATCAGGTGCCTCCATCCCGTCTGGACATCGCTGTGCTGAGCGGGGCCATCCTCGACATGTCGCAGGGAGAGAAGCCAGGCGCTGGAAAGGGTGGGAGGCCGAGAGCGCGGAGCCTCCCTGGGTGCTCAAATCTTCATAATTACAGATTTCTGTCCACACACAGGGCCTCAGTGAAGGATGTGGCCCCGCAATGCAATCCTGGATCCCCCATCCCACTCTAATCCTCTCGGTACTTTGGGGGTTTATTTTTTCCCTCTCCATTAATCTCTGAATATTAGGTGGAAAGCGAACAATTACTGCGCTAATGGCTCCATAAATTCCTTCATTACTTATTAAACTCGAGCACTCCCCGCGCAGCGGAGGAAAAAGAGATGAAATGGAGAAGAAAAGGGGGGGTGAGGGTCCAAGCTGCTAATTCTTCTCTTATTTTTCCTCCAACTTTTTTATATCCTCAGCCTCACCCCAAAATGTACTATTTTAATGAGAGCTCTACACCAAATTTTTGATCTGCTGGAGAGCATCAGGGTGCCCGTGGCTGGAAGGATGCTCCAGGGATGTTGCCGGGTGGGATGGGGCACAGGAACTGTCCTGCTGGGGGAACCGCCACACAAAAGCTGTCCCCAAAGTCCTCGGGGACGGTGCTGAGCAGAGCTGAAGAAGGGCGAAGGGAACCTGGTTTTAGGCAGCGGTTAACTGGAGGAGAGGCACGGGGCAGGGTGAGGAGTCTTGAACTTGTCCCCCCATCTCTCTGTTGCCGCCTGAGCGCCGCTTTCCCGCCTGCAGGATGAAATCTGCTCTCTCCCGGCTTTCCTCGAGGTACCTTGCGGTTCGTTGCCAAACCTCACCGGCATCCCGCAGGGTGGATGTTCTCCAGGCTTTTTGTTTTGGTTTGTTTTGTTTTATTGTTTTGTTTTGTTTTGTTGTGTTTTTTTTTTTCCTGCTGGCGAAGGCGAGGTCTGGGCCGCCGCTGCGGAGATCGTCGCGAGAATTGCAGCGACCGTTCGGAGCGGGAGGGGAAAAGCTTTCGCCTCCTCGCCGGGTCAGAGTGCGCGACGGCTCGCTTCTGGGCTGGCAGCTCCGCTCCCGGGAGGGCTCTTGTGGCCTCGCCTAAGTGAAGCTAATGTATTTCGACGTCTCTGACGGCCAGCTGGGATAGAAGCGCATCTCCAGGAAGAAAGGCAGCTTGTCTGAACGCCAAACTTGCGAACGTCTCCTCTCGGCCGAGATGCTCGCGAGTCTTCTGCCCGTGTCGATCGGCGAGGCTCAGAGCCGACGCTTTGGGATCCTGCCAGGGAGCTCTGTCTGCTTCTCCTCCTCCATCGGACTGACCTGTTCCTCTGCGATCGTCTCCAGCCAGGGCCTGAAAAACAAACCGCACAGCTAAACCCCTAGAGAAAGTGGGTTTTTTTGTAGGAAAACAGCAAGTTTCTTTGGTTCTACAACACCCAAATATCCTCCAGGATGAGCCCAGCTCCGCAGAGGGACCTGGATACCCAACTCCCATGGACACCAGATGTAATTAGATGTTTGTATCTAGGCCAGGGGCTCAAGGGCCATCTGGCACCTTAATTATTCATACACGTACATATAAGCGCAAACAGAGCGCTCCTTATCTAGCCTGGGCCCGGGGGGAGATTCCGGCTTATGCCAGGTTGTTTCTCATGGCCTGAGAAAGAGCGTTCTTCTCCAGGGCTGGTTTCAGGTGCTGCGTTGCCTTTTCCCAGCGCCAAAACCCGCTCCAAAGCACACCGGTGCCGCTGAACCAGGCATTGCAGGTGTCCACGTCGACAGCGGCTGAACGCAGAGGTGGAAAAATCCCAGAGGAGAAGAGTTCCCCCTTGGGAGGAGCGGGTCAGGAGGCCTGAAATCAGATTAGATGTCCGTCAGGAGGACCCGTCCCCTCGTCCCCTCGGTGATGTGGCCCAGCGCTCCCTCAAGGTGTCTTTTAAGCCGTGACTCATCAGCTGAGGAATTTTAATTTGTGTTTTTCGCCCCCAGCCTGAGGCAGGCAGCACGAGGAAGCGGTTAGGACCTTTGCAGAGCGAAGTCTCTATCTCTGGCTCTTTAAAGCGATGCATTTCCTCTCAAGCCAGTGGAGCTGTGCCAGGTTTTACCAGATGTAACCTCAAAGATGAAGCTGAAATATGGCAAAATAGGGTTTTCCCCACAGTTCTATCTTACCTAGAATCACTCCTCGGCTCCTGTGTCGCTCTGATAAATGCCATGGGACACGCAGGAGGGGAGGGGTACCTGCATGGGGTGTGGGCGCATCTGAGCCAGACTAAAGTGATGCTTTTTTATTTTAAACTGGGATATTCCACCCCCCCGAGCAAGCTATGCACTGGGCCTCCTTCCTCAATCAATCCCATCCCAGCCTCCAGAAACCTTTCCAGCAACCCTGGCCCTGGAAGTGAGGTATTTCTTTAAAACGGTAACACCTTGACAAAATAGCAATTTTTCTAGGGGGGAGACAACAACTCCCAAGTTTTACCCTTCCGTCGTGTGTCCCCAGGAAAGCGGCTCGACCCAGACGAGAGCAGCGGTCGCGATAAGCCTGGCTGACAGACTCCACGTCTCGCTCAGCCGAAGCTCCTCCGGGCCGGTGATGCCGCCCCTCCCTCACATACCTTCGTATCCCTTCATCTGGAGGATCCCCATCCACCTCATTGTATCTGTCTTCCATATACTTGCCGATAATTATATCCACGTGAGCCGAGCTCCCGTATCATTGCGGGTCTCTCTCCGGTACGGCTGTTAGGTTAAGTCTGTGTTGTTACATAGGAGGATCTCATTTTCAAAAGCTCAACATATATTTCAAACACAATTTCTATCACTCCTAGGGCTATATTTAGACATCAGCTATTTACCCACCACTGAAAACCCACCCACAATTTCAGGAGCCTCTGTGTACTGTCTCTGTCAGAAGGAGATGATATGACAGGGAGAAATGCAGTCTAATGGACCGCTATTAAAAAAAATCTGATTCAATTCTCCCTCTGTTGGATGAAGACGTTCCTGGGGAGCGATCTTATTTCCGTGGGGTGACACAGAGCTGCGAGGACATTTCACTCAGAGGCACAGTGAGGGAACATTGTGCTTTCTGCTCTCCTTATTTCAAACCACTTAGGCTGTGATTATAAAACATGGCTCAGGGGGGCTGTAGCATCGCTGGGTTAAATGAAGTTCTTCCTACTGCAGTGTGGTTGCAGGGTTAGTTTGGTTTGGTTTTTTTCCTCCTCAGGTACAGCTGGATTTCGATGCGTTTTCGGTGGCAGCCAAGAAGAACCAACGGATGATTCTCCAGCACAGCCCTGGGGGTGTGAAATTAGGGTGGGTTTTTTTTGGGAGGGGTGTGATTTATGGGATACTGGGATGCAAGGGCAGCACTGCCACGGGGGACGGCGGTGTCTGTCCCTGCCACAGCTTTCTTACCCTTTCAACCTTTCTTTTTCCTTTCTACACAACACAGAGGGAGAGCAGAGGGGGTAAAGAGGAGCGAGAGCACAGGGGGGGTCACACAGCAGCACCCGGGGAGCAGGATCCTCACAGGACACAGGGATTAGATCCGCTTCTGTTCCATGGGTTTCCCTGGCCTGGAGGTCACAGCAGCTCCGAACCTTTCCCTCAGGGGAAGGCCCAAACCAAAGCTGTTCCTTCCCGTTCCTAACCACCTCTTGAGCTCTGGCCGCCGAGTGAGAGAACACCGGTGAAAGCAAATATACATAAGCATAAATAACGTTTTCTGTGCAGCTTTAAATGGCAATATAGCAGATGGTTTGACACCTGGAGCGAGGCGGTAACAGGCCGCGGGGTGACCCCCACAGGCGGGCAGCCCCCGGCCCTGCTCCCCATCGCTGCCCCTCAGGCTCCGATCCCCAGGGCTGGAGGGCCGGGCCCAGAGACCTGCGGGGCTCCCACCGCCGCACCGGGAGGTGTTTCAGTGTATTTCCCGGGGCGGACAGACAAACGTACAAGCAACCAGACGGAGGGCTGAGCAGGGACTGACTAGAGGCCGAGCTACCGCGACCCATTTGAACGCTCTCTCCTTTCCCCTTCCGCCCTTCCCTCCGGTTCGCTCCGCGCCGCATCCCGGCGCGCTCTGAGCCCTCAGCCGCGGCCGCACGGCGAACTCTGCCGGGGAACCGCCCTCTTCCTCGCTGCGACCAATCAGAGTCAGAGTGAGCATGACTGATCTCCCCTTCAGCCTATCCGCAAGCTAGCTGACTGTAGCCAATCAGATGCCTGGGGAGATTTTTCTCGCCCAATGGTAAACGAAGAGGGGAACTTGGGCAGCAGCCCGCGCTTCTTCGGGAGCGGCGTAGACTTCAGCCAATCAGAGCAGCGCAGGAAAGGTTACCAGTGCTCAGTGAGGAAAGGGGGCGGGGAAAGAGCAGCTCGCGAGAATTTGAGAGGGACGATGGGAACCCGCGTCTAAGCGAGCGGCCCAATGGGGAAGGGCGGGGCGGGGCCGCAGCTAGACCATTATAAGTGGCAGGGAAGGGAGCCAATCAGGAGGAGGAGATAAGTTCACCGCAATGGCCAATGAGCAGGGCTAGTGCTCCCCTGGTTAAACTGCTAGGATTGACAGGAGAGGACCCCCAATCAGAAGGCCGCGCCCTTTCTAACTGTCCAATGAGAGAGCGGGGCGGGGAGGAGTGGGGGGGGGCGGCGCT